GCTCTTGAATTTCTGGAGATTCGCGGATCAGCTGTTCCGATTTATAATGCAGCGATCAGGTGGTGGACGGAAATGGAAGCGCTTAATTTAATCCATCAAAAAAAAAAAAAACCAACCACTCTCTCTCTCTCTCTCTCTCTCTCTCTCCCCCTCTCCCTCTCTCTCCTCTCTCGGGAACAGGGCTGAGACAGAATGATTTAGTGATGCTGTTGTGAGTCGCCTCCTGCCCTGTCTTTTGGTAACCCCGGGTTCCTTGCTCACCCACCCCTTCGCCTTTCTTTCTTCTTCCGCACGTCGGACGCGGGAAAAGAGGGGAAAGGGAAAAAAAACCTCCAGCTCGGGAGACAAGGCAGGAAAGGCTCGCCCACCGCCAGGCTCTGGCTTTGCCAGGCTTGCCTGCCTGCCTGGGGACGAGCTGCACCACCAGAAACTTCTCCTGCAGGAGTCACGGCATCACCCTCTGGCTTATGCAGCCTGGGAGGGTTTTGGGGGGGCGGGGAGAGAAAATTTAGCGTTCCCTTCTTCCCCTCCCCCTTCCTTTGGCATCGCTCGGCCTGTGATTTATTGGAGGGAGGGAGGGAGGGAGAGAGAAAGGCAGGAGGACCTGTGGGCCTGCGGATGCAATCAAACAAGCGATACCCTCAGTTTTTAATGAGAAGGGGGGGAGTGGGCTGAGCTAGGCCTTTTGTTCTCCTTCTGAAAGGAGGCCGAGAAGCCTGGAAGGGGGTCCAAGGGCTGTGTTTCTCTCCCTCTCCTTGTCTTTGGAAAAGGGACCGAGGACCAGAACTGTCCCAGGACTGGCGTGGCGGCGGTGGGGGTGGCGTGGATAAGAGAGGAACCGGGTCCTTCTGCACAAAGAGAAGACGGGCTGAGAAACAACCCTGTTTTTAATTCCTAGGAGCTGCCCTTCTCGAAAAAACCTGGGCGTGAAACAAAAGTCACTTTGTACATGCCCAGACACACCGTATTTCCGTTTCTTCCCGATCTACTGGTTCAGAAAATCGTTCCAACTGAAACTGAGGCACCAGCGTTTCTGATCCTAGCTCTTCCTTCTCGGATCTGGGGCAGCAAAAGGGGTGATGGTTGGAAATTGGGGTGTGTGTGCTGATAAATGCATTCTGGGAGGGGAGCCTGGGGAAGTTACCGCAGAACTGCAGAACTAGCCATTGGGACATCTGGGCTGCCTCCTTCCACCTGGCCTGGGCAGCCCCACCGGTGTGCCCGCCACATGCATTCTAACAAGGTGGCCATAAATAAGTCCTTGCTCGGCACCTGGGAGGAGTCCTGGGGGCTGCAAGGCACCCTTTTTGCTTCCTGGCCAAGTGCGAGCGATTGCGGCTCTCCAAATGACTTTGGACTTCAGTTCCCATAATTCCTCGCCATTGGGCTATGCTGGTCACGGAAGCGACCGGCCAAAGCCACAGCCGGAGTCTTCCATAGGTTTTGTACTTCCGCGGAAAACCTGGGATCTCGTCCACGTGCAGAGCTGGAGAAGGAAAGTCCGAGAGGCGGTAGCTTTCTCGCCGGGAATCCAGCAACGGAGCAGGGAGACCAACTTAGGCGAGAGTAACACGTGGAGTGGCTGTTGCTCGCGATCCTGGCACGGGACTTCAGCGCCAAGAGGCTACGCCAGTCGGCGATTGCCCGGGGGGGGGCGGCCACTCCCGGAGAACAAAGGGTGAACGCAGAAAAGGGGCCACTTTTCCGGCTGCCCAAGTGAAAACTCACCTCGCCGGGGCCCTCCCATTCCACAGACTAGCCTTCCAGACGTGTCTCCTGCGGGTGCCCCGAATCCTCCTGGCCTCTGGCGGGGCAGTGATCCACAGAGAGGGCAGGAGAAGCCAAGGGCGCAATGTGGGCACAGCCTCCTGTCGCTCCCCCCCCAACCAAACTGAGCTCAACGCGGGCCAGGATCTGCACTGGCTATCGCGCCCCATGGGTGCCCGGGTGACCCTCCCCCGGAGATTTCCTTCGGCGCTTCCCTCGCCAAGGCCGCCAGCGGGGGCGGGGGGGGTGTCGGCTCGTGGGGGG